CTCGTTTTCCGAAGTTTCGCCCCAGAGTCGGCAGGGAGGGGGCAGCGTCCGAGAGCCTCTGGGCGTCCAGGCGAACCTGCCGCGGGCGCCGGCGGGAGCTGGGGCTCCGCGCTGCCTGTGGAGCGGTGTGCGTGCCGTGAGGTGCGGCTCGGATTACTAGGTCAGGGGCCGAGGGAATTTGAGGGGCGAAAAGCCTTTCCCTTGGCGTTCACGAGTAGACATCTTCCTCTGTCTCCACTCCCAAAATAACTTCACAAAAAACATCCTTCTCTTCCTAGGAATCTAAATATTCAGAGGTGGCGAGTTTAAAAAGCAAACAGATATGTCATGTATTTTGACAACTGGGATGTTTGTTTGTTGCCAATTCTGTCTGACAACTGCTTGATAGGAAATTTAATACAATTTTATTTCCTAGCTATACATTTCAACTCCTGCAGCTCTTACAGGTAGGCTTGGAGGAACCTATTTGGATGAGATTATTTCTTGTGCTGGCAAGAATGTTATCATCTGAGAAATCGTGAGTGGGAGAGTAGAAGGAGGAATAAGTGGAAATTAAAATCCAGTATTGGCCTCCTATGTGCTTTTTCCTGATACCTGCAGGAAGACATGCTGCAACTAAAACTGGATTTTTCTCAAAAAACTGTGAATTTATTAAAAAACCCTGATCTGTGTTTATTCACTTCAGTTGATCTTGACAGAGGGATTATACTTAGGCAATGTGGAGAATTACAACTCGGGCTGAACACTTGTACTGTATATTAATTTCCTACATCATTAATTTGTATGGGAGTGAAAACCATAAGGGGTCTCTAACAACACTTTGTTTACTTTGTGGGTAACACTTTCAGCAGGGCAGTCTGAGGAAAGCTGAGTAGTTTGCCTTTCCGTGAAGGCACCTGTAATGAAAGTGTCTGTCAGTTTGTGCGTGCGTTCAGCAGCCTGGCTACATCAGTTTTCTGTAACGCAGAGAGAGCTGCTATGAAGCTTTCATGTTTTATTCCAGTATTGTGAGTGGTGAAGGGGAGGGTGCTTTCTGGCATGCGCTGGGACATGTCATTTGTGTTACAGATGAGTTAAGTAGTGCGGGGTCAGATCATCCTCACCCAAGGTGATTAAATCTTTAGCCCAGCAAACAGCTGTAGCAACTAAACTAAAATGATCATCATACCAGTTTTCCAGTGCTCTTTGTGAATTTGCCAAATTAATAACAGCAGATAGAAAGGCAAAAGACTGAGTGTGGGAAATGAGCTGTTAACAGATTGGGGGATCTCCTTAAGGAAAGGAATAAAGTCCTTCTGCCTGTGTTCTGGGATTGCTCCCGGACTGCTGGTGCCCTGCTGGGTACCAGCTGCCCGTGGCAGAGCGCCGGCTGGTCCCACAGTGCTGGCTTCCTCCTTCCTCCAGCTGCTAGAACCACGCTGCGAGTCCCTCAGCTGTTGCTCTGCCCTGTGAGGTGGTACCCTCGTGGCTGTGGGAGGGTGGCGTTTTGGCAAGAAGGGAAGTGGCACATGAGAAATTTCTGTATTCGATCACCGGTAAGGCTGTAACAGAGTTCGAGAGCAACAGGGCTGCTTACTTAGCAGCGCTCTGGATTTCACAACTGGCATTTTTCTGTCTGGCTCTGTAAGCTAGCGGGGCATCCTGTGAGAAGCAGGACCAGAAGAGACCAGCCAGTGAACTGGGTGAAGTTGTAATGTACTGTGATAACGTGGACAGGCAAGAGTGATGGAGTCTTTTTTTTTCTTTTTTTTTTTTTTTCTTTCTTTCCTTTTTCCTGAAGGACGTGGAGGACATTGCCAGGGCATAATATTGAACTAGGCTAGACCTGTTCTGGTCTGTCAGTCCTGTGCCACTGCATAGGAAATGTCCACTCTCCCTAACAAAACTAGCTTTGCATTTATTTTCCACCTTCCTGCTTTCCCACGGTCTCCTTTGATCCTCTGGTTCCTCCTTTAGATGCCTTTCTTAAACGCGCTTATATAGTTGGCTTCCGTGTTTTCTCATGGTAACACGTTCCATATATTCGCTTCTGCTTGAGGGAAACACTCTGTGTCCACCCACACATGTAACACAGTGCTCCCGGCCAAATTCTGATCGCTTTTGTGTCAGTGTAAACCTGAGCAGCTCCACTGGCTCTGGCCCTGCTGCTTTGGGGTCGCAACTATACAGCTCTGGGTACGACGTGGCCCTTGGGCTGGACTGAAGGGTCAGGGAGGCTCGTTTGAGCACACGCCCACATCATGCGACAGAAATATCTGTTCTGTAAACAGTTCTGCTCCTCGGCGAGGTATGCTGTAGAATAAAATAGGCTTTGCTTTCATGGATTTTGTAAATTGCAGAGCAGCTTTCTGTAATGCAGAGGAACAGTGTACGCTGAATAACGAGACACAACTGATTCTTTCTTGTACCCCAGCATTTTACAAATGCATACAATGAAGCAAGCACGATGATTTCTTAGCAGCGCAGGAACACCATAGCCGAAATTCAAGCCTGGGGAAAAGAGGGAGGAGTGGTACCATGTTGAGCAAACACGCTTAGCGCTGCTGGATCACTGGCACAGCGAAGCTCCCAGCGTTTCTGTCTGGCTCTGCCTGGGCAGTGCTCTGCAGAAGCTTACCCTGCTGTTACATGAGTTCCAAAAAGCCCCATGTACACCCTGAGCCACCACTTTTCTCCAGCAATTGTGCTTTCAGTGCTTGCCTTTGACTGTTGCTTGGCAGATGTAGTAGAGCAGTGCTGAGACTAACAGACCCTTCTGCAGCGTGTGCTGGTAGGGTATGTAATTCCAGACCACCAACCTAGAGTAATTTGCTGTACTCCAACCCCCCTTCTTTCTGGGGGTGGGGCGGAGTAGTATTTTTTTTTTAGGTATGAAATTTACAGGATCTCCAATCAAATTAAAGGTGTCCCAGGGTCAACCCGTCAAACTAAATTGCAGCCTCGAGGGAATGGAAGATCCCGAGATGTTGTGGATCAAGGACGGAGCAGTGGTGCAAAGCGTAGACCAGGTGTACATTCCAGTAGATGAAGAACACTGGATCGGCTTCCTCAGGTACAACAGATGCAGACAAGGAAGAATATCGCGGAAACTATTGCACAGTTTTCTGCTGTCAGCTATATCTGTTCAGCCGCAGTGCCCTGGGGGCAGGGTCCGTAGGTCTGTAGTTCAGCGCGTGGCAAGGGCATAACTGAGAGCAGAACTGAGGCCACGGAGGGCTGAGATTTTATGCACTAGAACCATATTGGTTTCCTGACTACTGTGGTGACAGGTGCTTTGCTAATGCTTGTGATGCTTTGAGACGTGACTTCAAGGTGAAAGGATGTTCTTGCCTTGTTTGTTCATCGTGTTCTGCCGTGCAGCAGGAAGACTAAGATCTGACTTACTTAAATAGGTTTTCTCTCTCATACTTGTTCTGTCCTCTTCTTCTCTCTCTTGAGCTGTCAGTCTGCCTAAAGGGTGAGGATTGTTAATTGAAAAGAGACTCCCAGGACTACATCCCCTTCTTTTCTTTGGAGAGGAGTGTTTGTCACCTGAACCATCCCCAAGTCATTTTGCAGAGACCTTCTTAATACATTTACACTATGTGGTACCAGTCCTTCCCCCCTCAGAGGCAGAAAAACTCTCTTCTGCAAAGCGTCTCTCTGTGCCTTTTTTTCGGCAGAAGAGGGATGTCGGCTCGTTCTGGAACTAACGAGTTAAACAAGACCCAGGGTTCTGCTCTGGCTTTTTTCTGTGCATAAAGAGAGCTTGTACAAGCAAACATGCCATCACCATGAGGGCTCAAAACTGTTGACTGCCTGAGAATCACTCTTACCTGAGCTCCGGCTTCATCTCCTGTTAGGTTTCTTGGATTGACGTTGCACGGAGTCTCCAATTCCAGCAACTAAAAGTCTCTGTGCTGAAGCTTGTCTGTAAGAAACATTTTGATAGGAAAAAAATCTGTGCCCAGTAAAACTATTGCATAATATTATGTTGTGGAAACAGTCTGTCTTGAAACTATACCGTTTACTTCCCTCTGTTTCCACTAGGTAACTCTTTTTGCCCCTCACAATTTCTCAGTCTGATCTGCTTTCTCACCTCTTGTTTTCCTCCACTGAGAACTTTCTGCAGGGTGCTAAATCTAGATGTGTCCGTATCTTTTTCTCCTTCTCCTTTCTTCTCCTAAAGTGATCATTTCTACCACCCACTGTGTGACTCTCTGCTGCGATCGCTGTGTTTCAGAACATGTGGCTGGATGGGCAGGACAGCTGATGCCATTTGAAGGTACAGCTCTGAAAATCAGGCTATAGTGGGTCCATTTTGTGCATTTCAGCAAACACTTTCCCTTTTCTGTCTGCCTTCCTGAGATGTTCTTCCCCTTCCCCAAGGCGGACTGCTAGCGTTAGGAAGGCAGGCATCAGATCTGCTGCGGACCCCTGCATGGCAGCAGACGCATGGCTGCGCATCCCGCGGGGGGGCAATCGACATTTGTACGTTGACAGGCGCTCAGAGTCGCACTGGTGCCTTTGGTAGCTGAGACCTTGTTGCTTTGGGGCCGAATTCTGCCCTTACTCAGCACGCTAGCCTCGTGTTGCTGACGGCAGCGAGGATACCGCGGACTTCTGGCAGCGGAGCAAGGAGCAGAATTTCTCCCCTGAACTGGAGGCCTGTGACCTGAATGCTGCTCGGTCCCTGTGGCTGCCTTCCCCTGCTTGGATGCATCTTCTCGGAAGGGGAGCTGTCGCTGAGCAGAGGAGGACACAGGAGTGTTCGCAGGGTGAGGTGCTGTGCTGGAGTAGGTCAGCATAACCCCTTGAAATCACAAATCACGAGGCCCAAGGAGTTTTTCAGTGTGAGGTGCTCTTGGGCTAAGAATAACGCTGAGTGCAGTCGAGGCGAGGGGGGCCCTTTTCTGACCCATCCCGTTCCTGTATGAGGCTGTCAGCAATCCTGTCGCCCAACTGGGGCGAAACAGTCGGGCTCGCTGGAGATTTGTGACTTGGAGTTTCCTGCTAGCTCAGACGCTGTAGGACAAGCTGTCGCTCTTGAAGGCCAGTTAGAATCACGGTTCAGGATCGAGATGACCACCAGCCCCTTCCTATCCTCAGAGGATACAAATGACGGTTTTTCTGCGAGGACGTGTCAGAGGAAGGCTGTTTGCTCTGCTGAGGATTCCCTCCACCCACTTTGGAGAGGAGCCTCCCATCTCCGCTGTTTTGCCGCGCGCTTTGTGCTGGCTGGCTGTTGCCCTCTTCCCCAGAGCTGGCTGCGTCTCAGTGGGTGTTGTCCGTGCATCTGGTTTGCCAAACACTGGAGGGTCCTTTGGGGCAAGAACATGCTTTATCCACATAAAATATCGATATGGCTTTTGACTTTTTTCAGCTTGAAATCCGTCGAGCGGACAGATTCTGGGAAGTACTGGTGCCAGGTTGAGAACGGGGGGAAGAAGGAAGAATCACAGCAAGTGTGGCTCATAGTGGAAGGTAAGGAGGAGTAGTAGTGCTGGTTTCCTTTCAGGGCTGACCCACCAATATGCTCTAGGTGGAAGTGGCGAGAGCAGACTGCTCCAGTGACAGGCTTCTTGGCTCTGAACCATTACTGCTAACTGCAGTGAGGTCTCTACAGAGCAGGAGTAAGAAATAGGAGAGGAGCTTCAAGGAGAGGAGCTGTCAGTTCATTACCTTCTGGTTTTATTTTGGCACATTAGGAAACAAGATCCTTTTGTACACACACATTTCTTTCCAGCCCCTCAATCCATTGTTGCTTTCATCTCCAAATAATTTGTAGAACGATGGGATTCAGGTTGAAAGGGATCCATGGGGATCATCTGGTCCAGCCCACTTCTCAAAGCAGGGTCACAGCCTGGTTCTGTGTATCAGCCAAACAGGTCTTTGAGGGCAAGGTACAGTTTTAGCCCAATTCTGAGTTTCGAGAGAAGTGCTGTACATCAGCAATTCATAGCTGTGACTGTTCCATATGGCACTGTTTTGCCCAGTCTTGTCTGATAAAGAATAACTTCTACATGGTTGTCCAAAAGTCGCCCAAGGCAGCATGGATTGCTGGCTTCTTAACTGTCTCTAGTTTCATTTCCCTTGAGCCATGATTGTGTTAGCTTCTCAGAAGCTAGTAGTCATAGGATGTCGATATTTGGTGAGGCAGTTGGCGGGAACAGTGCATTTGCAGCAAGAAGTGGCTTTTTGTGTGTAATTGGTAACATTTTGGGCCAGAGCTGAATCGGCAGTCTTAAAGAGGGGGAGCAGGGAGGGTGTCGAGGGAGGTGTTGTGGTCTGGGTGTTTTACAGCAAAGGTCTCACTCAGGACCATGGAAATATTCATAGCAGGAGGAGGAATGCTGCCTTCCATAAATCCCAGACTTTTGCCCATCTAAATTTTCAGGTGCAGTTTCACCTGGATTATGTTGTTTACAGCTTAAAACACAGAGTTACTTACAGAGTTACTCTTACTGTGCAGAGTTTCCATTTCTATTCCAATTACCGTGGCTCTCTCCAGAAGTGGCTGCATTTGCATGGTGTGTGTTTTAGGAGTGAGTGGGTATCTCAGCGCGCTAAGTCATCTGAAAAACAAAGGAGCCCTTCTGGATAGCACAGGCAAAAAATATCAGAGTCACAAAAACTAGCTGAAGCTAGGTAAGAGGGAGTGTTGAGAATGAAGGCCAAAGCCTAGAGTGGAAGCGTAAGCTAAAAAAATGCAACTAGTTGCCTTTTGAGAAGAGTAAGTATGGTGGAAGCTAGTTAAACTTGAATCAAGCATGTAATCATGTGAAATGGGAGTTGGTGGCAAAAATTAAAAAATTACAAGTAGCGATAAGGGGTGGATTTCTAAAAATGTGTCAGCTGTTAGCGTAAGAAAACACCGGGGAATGCGAAAGCCTGTCGGTCCTACCTTCACTCTTACTTCTGTATGTATTTCTTCCCTGGGCAGACCAGCTTTGTCTAGAAGTGGTTGCTGTGTTGATAACAACGGTTGTCCTCTTTGCCTGAGAGAGGATCTTTATTCTGCTCATTTGCAGCCTTTGGTAGGTGCTGACACCTTCCAGTGTGCCACACAAAACAAGCGTGGACTACTGGTGATCTAACCTAAAGTGAGCTCGAATGGATTACTATGCTGTCTAATATCTGCCTTGAGATCCACTTAGGTAGTCTGTATCAGGCAGAATTTGTAGCAATGGTATTTGAACTGTCATTCTAATACAGCTGAAGTGTTTGATCTTATGAAATGCATCTCAGTATTTACAAAAACAAAATTATTTTGGAACTCTTTTTTGGTTTAGAAACTAGACTCTGACCTTACCAAGAATATGATAGCGTTCCATGCCCCGAGAGGTAATCTAAGAGGTGCACTGTGGAGTGTGACCATCTTAAAAATACGGATTATGTTTCTTACAGAACTTTCCCTCTGAAATTACACCTCTGACTGTGTGGCTGTTCCCAGGGCTCCTAGCCCCTGTTGTGGCCACAGCCAGAGCCCCAGACACACCTGTATGGACGTGTCCCCCTGAATTAACACTGCCTAAAAACTGAGCTGTAGGAAAAAAAAAAAAAAAGGCCACCTAGGTTGGGTGCTGGCTTGGAACGGGGAGTAGACAGGCTCATGTCCTTGCTTTGCCACTGATTTCGTGGCTGTTGGCTGCTCAGTGCCTCCGTGGTGCCTCTGTGAAAAGGGGGTGCCAGCACTCACCTCTTGCACCAGCAACTGGGAGGCTACACATGTCGCAGACAGTGAGGTATCCAGGTGACATACGTACCGGGGCAGTGCAGGTTCCTGAGCTGGATGAGTCAGCTGCGCTCCCTGAACTACACAGTTTTTAATTGTGGTCTTGTCTGATCTGGTTAGCTGCTCCCAAAGTGAGAAAACCTGCCGAGCTGGGCAGGATCCTCCTGAAAGGTTACCTTGGGTGCCATGGCAAAGGGACAGGGATCCTGCTTACAGGTAGAAGAAACGATGGTATTTTCCCTTCTAATCTTCCTTGGAGAAGGAGGGCAAAGCAGGCAGCTGGTATCTGGAAAGTTGATTCACTTTCACTGTTTATGTATGACTGCAATAAAAAAATAAAGTAAAATACGTAAGCAAAAAGCCGCAGTAAATCATGACGATGGATATACCTGTCCTGAGCATTAGGCTTTGGACAGATAGACACCATCATTCCTGAAGTGACCTATTTTTAGACCTGTCTTAGTTTGTTCATTTACTTGCCGCTCTCAAGGGAGTGGCAAGGGGGTGAGGAGGGCACAAAGAAACTGCCACCCGAAGGACACAAACAGCGACTGGACGGCCAGTGGAAGACCGAGGACACCACTTCCAGCTGGCATGCAGGGGGAATGTCAAGGGTTAGGCATCTAAATCCCTCTTTAGGCACCTATATTAATTGCCTGCTGTTGGAGGTGCTCAGCGTCTGCCGCACCAACTGGAGCCTCTTTGGCCGGGGACAGGCAGTGTAATTCAAGCACGTGGATGCCCAATGTTGTCAGTTCCTCTGTTTCTGTGAGGCGGCAGATCAGTAGTTTCCAGAATGCACTTTTTCCAGCTGAGAATACCTTATTTTGGTGCAGATGCAGTCAGCAGCACCTGTGCTTGACACCCAAAGTTTTGAGTGTAAAAGAGAACTCGATGTTTCTTTGGACCTTCAGCTCCTCCAGCAGCCACCAGAAGCGCATGCTGGCTGTCCTGCAGGGTCGGCACTGGTGCTGATGGCTAGTGAACTTTGTGTTACTGGTTTAGAGCACTGAAACCACAAGAGTTTTGGCATTGCCTGTAAGAGGAACCACATCTCTTGATGCGTTAGTTAACGCTCAGCTATTGCCACGTAGAGATGACCTGAGGTAGGTAGCGTTGCAGCTGCATTTTGCTGCCTGTGGGGCTGATCTAAGGCTAGTTGTAGCAAGCAGTTGTCTTTCCGAGGTGGGGAACAGATATTTATCAAGAGAGCTGTGTCCATGGATAGGTTTCAGCTCTGAAACAAATTACCGCTAACTCCAAGGCAGCCTGCTTCTCGTGGTGTTGGAGCATGCTAGAAGGTGGCTCCAGTCAATTAAGCTGTGGAGAGAGCGTTGTGAATGATCCCAGTCTCTCACCGCAGGGATTCTTTCCTCATTCACGGGTTTGTTACAGCCACTAGTTCAGCACATTCACAAGCTTCAGTTTTTTATGCATGGCAAGAAGTATCTGCAGCTGGATTAGGTGTCTTTTAAAGTGGTGTCTGCCACTGCTAACATTATTGACTGTTGCCTCTTTAAACTCCAGCCTCTCCAGATGAAAAATTGAGCAAATACTGCCACGAAAAGCTACTTCATAGGGAAGTCTTGAAGGAGACTCGGTGAAAGAGGTTTCTCAAAGGCATTTTGGGAAGCAAGCGCTCTTCTCTCTCGGACTTCTTCTAGTGGGAGTATGTAGACATTCATGCCCTGAGGTCATCCAGCGCATCTGACCCTTGGTTGTTGTGATGGGCTTGGAGGGAGTTGGATTAGGCATAGGGGCAGGGCAGATGGGTGTCCAGTGTTGCACACTGGTATTAGTGGAAATAAAAAAAGAGACAGAAAGAGTCTCTCCAGTTATTATCACTTGTCTGTTGCTTTTCTAGGTGTGCCCTACTTTACTGTGGAACCTGAGGATGTGTCCGTGTCCCCTAATGCCCCATTTCATATGGCCTGTGCTGCTGTTGGTCCCCCTGAACCAGTGACAATTGTCTGGTGGATGGGAGACTCTAGAGTGGGGCTTCCAGACATCTCCCCCTCCATCTTAAATGTGTCAGGTAAGGCTGCTGCCAATGCAGGGGATCACTTTGAGCATCGGAAGCGGAGGGCTCTTTT